ACTGAATGGGTGTAATCTCCGCTCGAGCGCCAAAACCCCCGCTCGAGCGTACAGGCCAAAACCTGGGCAACTAGTTTTGGTTTCTAAACTCAACCAACCTGTAACAAACCTGCCCAACACATCCTATAACTCAATTACGAAGTAAAAAGGATGTAAACAAAAAATTAAACAACTACCAACATCCACGGACACATGTCCGGATCACTGTACAACAAGGGTAAACCCGGGATCGCTATAGGATCCATGTTGCCTTGATGAAAAATTGGATATATTTGCATGACGAGTCCAATTTAAAACCCTAAAAGGGAAAATTGTGGTGCGCAATAAATAAAAATGGGCTTTATTATGAGATATTTCATGTAATGGATAAAATAATTGATCAACTGATATATGAAATTTGAAGCTTGAGAAGCTCAAAATTATTATGGCTTGAGAAGTTAAATATTGAGGCAAATATTATTAATAAACTCGAGGAGTCATCGCCTCTAGACTAGCAAGGCTAGAACCATATTTATATGTCAAGGGGGATGGGCTAAGCCCAAAGGAAGTAACCTAAGGAAGTAACCCAACCTCTATGATTGGAAACCTCATGAAGGAGGTTCAATGGGTAGAAACAATCCTTAAAATGTGACTTAATTCCAGCACTTAATATTTTAGGAGACACCATAAAAGTTGTTCTCCTATCCATCTCTAAGGAAACAATGCTAATGAGTGACTGGCTAGGAAGGATTTTACCCTGAATGAAATCAAGGCCTCTTGTAAGGTGTATTCTGTCACTTTACCTTTGAAGGATTCTACTAAATGGAAACCATTGTGAGGCCGCGATTGTGGGACTTGGGCTAGTCTCTAAAATTTCCATGAGATTCAAGATCAGAGTGCATGACCATTAAAATCACTAATCCGCGAACTATTGTTTAATACCAGTGTTATGTGTGTGACATGTTAACCTTTGGTTCAAAGAGTCTAGTTCAAGTTCACTAAGATTTTTTGGAGGGAAACTGTTATCACTAAGTGAGATTCAAGTCCGGTAGATGCCTACACCTATTACACAGTATATGTTGCCCATTATATATGTTCCATATCTATATTATTTTGAATTGTAGTTTTGAAATGTGGGGATATGTTGCAAATTTTGTAAAAATATTAAAACTATTTATTTTTATTAAAAGTGGGAGATTGTTGGGATATTTTTAACAAAAATAAAATAATATATTGTTTTAATAAATTCAATAAATTGTGAATCACAAAAAGTTTTATATATATCTCATTATTTCTTTGTTTAATATAATGTTAAATGATGGTTTATTGTTATCATTAAGTGAATTTTTATTATATAAGTTACTAATATATAGTGCTATATAAGTATGTGGTTTTCTATGAGTTGGAAGATGCATAAGACACAAAAAGAGATTGAAAAGATGATTTGGGAGATGAAATGTTTTATCAGAGTTTTATATTGTATTTTGGGCAATTGTGGTTTGTGATATGGTTCAAGCCTCTTGGTGGTTGTGAACACTATATGAGGGACGCTGTGAGCAATATGGATTTTTATCTTGGAACTCTTTCACTCCATTTGTACTTTCACGAGGGGAGGAAAAAAAAATTTAGGACAGTGATAAAATGACTCCCAAAATCTCACAGTTATGTTTCAGTACACTTAATTTTCTCTCTGTATATTAATGTTTATTATCATTGATATTATATAACAAAAATGCTTGGAACCTCTAATTAGAGGTGCCACTAGTGATGTGGCAGTGGGTCCCACCCACTGCCACTGTCAATGCTGTGTCTGTTTATTTTTTATTTTATTTTCCTTTTCCACCTCATTAGAGGTCTGTTTAGAGCCTCTAAGTTAGACATCTCTAGCATCACTGATTATATAATTCATACTAATTATCTTATTTATTATTTTGTTTGACTAACAATCCATTTGGAAGTGTAGGAATGAATGCGTTTTCAATGGATCTCAGCATCAACTGGATGTATTATGTGAATTGGTGAAGGTTAGGATTGTCGATTAAATACCACTTTCCTCACACTTCTGTACTCTTGTAGAAGCTTTGAAGGTGTCGTCCATGTAATTGAGCTACTCTGTTTTGTTTGTGATTGAGCAGCAGGGGAGTATTGTGATGGTTTCTCACCAACTCCCTTAGCTTGAGTTAGTATATAATTGTGTGATCTCCTTGGTGCTAACTTGTGATTTGGATGCGTCACTATGATGCTTTTTGCCCTTGACTTCCTTTTACTGGTATAATCTCATATTTGATGTATGTGTTTTATCATTAATAAAGTTTATTTTTGTTGATAAATATATATATATATATATATATATGCATTCTTAGTTATACCATTTTCTTATTTAGTTATAACCAATTTTCTTCTTTACTTATAACATTATTTTAGTTATGACACATGAGATCTTTAGTTATGCCTTTTATTGTATTTAGTTATGACATTTTATTTATTAGTCATAAAATACATATGATATACACATTTTGAAAGGGATGAACCATAATATTGCTCATGATTTTATTACGTCATTTACATAATTTTATTGGATTACTTATTGTAAGCCATTAACTCTCTTTACTCAAATCATTATGGATCATAATCAATAGAGACTCCCATTACTCAATCATTATGGACCATAATGAATAGAGAATATATTTTGGGAGAATCGTCTCTCCAATTGGGATATCAATTGGAGGGTATTGTTGGATTTCTGTGAGCTCACCACAGAACTCACATCGATAATTTTAAATATTAAATGTATACGTCTCATCAAGTATTTTAACCTTGCAAAATATTACATTGATCAGATATCGACAACCACTTGATCAGATCACATTTGTATCAGTAATTTATTTTTAAAATTATATTTGTCATTTTAACAAATGTGATATGATTAATTGATTGTCGATATCTGATTAACGTGATTTTTTTTATAAAAATAAAATATTCGACGAATCTTACACATTGAATAATTTGAATCATCAATATAGATACCGTCACAGGCCCACAGAAGCCAAATAATATTCTCTAATCTGATATAAATCGGACAGAAGCCTATCCTCTATGTTTTTCATTGTTGTCCCATGAACCAAATGATTAACGGACAGTCACGTCAGCCACTTTTATTCACACATTTACTCTAAATTCTTTACTTTTGTGTGCCTGGGGAAATTATTTTTCTCTGTTCCTTTTTCTTCCCTTTGTCTGCCCCAGTCTAACCTTCGGTTATTGAGTTTATTTGGTATAATTTATTGTAAATTAAAAATTGATAATCAAAAGTGTAGGTCAAAAATACAAAATTTTTAACCTTTGGATAATCAATTTTTTTCAACTCATTTCAGAAAAACAAAAAAGAGCGAGACATTCCTCTACAAATTTATACAAGAGCATAAGGACACCCTACAGTTTATTTGCTAGTTAAAGTCCCTGGTTGTTTAAACTTCAGATGTTTAGGTCTAGTTCTGGTATTTTTGTAAAATGGATTAGTAAATAATATGGTCCTTTTTCACCTGGTCTATTTCTCTTTTGTTTTTAGTGTAGTTTTTATTGTTTCTCCACATCACATCAAACGCCATGATTTTCCACTACTACAGATTCTGAAGGCTATCAATGTCATCCCATTACTGAGATCTCTCGTCCTGAATCACATAGGTGAACATAGAATGTGTCTCAACTCCGTGGTTTTACACATAATACTCTGAAGATGTGTAGAGAACACACTTCATTTGTTACAAATGATTCAATTGATGATATATATCTTTTGTATCTCTGCATTGTGGACATTTTAAATCCCAAGTGATTGAATAGATATTCGGTTTCAGTTTTCATTATCGTTTTAGTGGTGATATAGTACTAGATGTTTGTTCAAAACTTTTGATTAGATGACAAAGTGGTTGATTAGGGTGCATTACAATGGGAATTACTTACTATTGTTCTTAATTACTTGTTTTGGTTTTAATTTTTAATTCTAGATCTGTGGAATATGAATGAATTGGATTTGATCAGAGTTTGAAGAAATCCACATATGTTCTTTGAGCTTTCTCTCTGGCTCCAAAGAAGATGATCATTGTTTTGTAGCTTTTAGGCATATTTGCTTGGGTAGATTTTGTCATGGAATTGTCGAAAGTGGGAGATTGTTAATGTTTGAAGCCTATACTAGGTTAACAATCCTTTAAACAAAAATCTAGTTAAATCGTTATTGTTTTAATTTGAACTATATTTATTTTAGAAGTTCAAGTTCAGTCAGAATTAGTATTAGAGTTGGGCGTAAAGTGTTCAATTCTTTGGTATGAACAATTAGAGATTTCTGAACTAACTACATCGTTGTGCCATATGTTGAGTAACCATTCAAGCTGTCAACATTTCAGAAACTCTGTGGATTTTCATAGCTCAAGAGAAGGGTGACGATTTTATGAATTCTGAGGGATGTTTGAACTCAAGTTTATGGAATTGGTTTTCGACTCATCCTAAAGCACTTAAATTATAAATATGAGTGTGGTTAGGGAAGGAACAAAATGAGTTTGGAGAAGATTAGTTGACTGATTCAAATAGGTCTAAACTGCTTTATAAAATTTACACACATCAACTTTATTAGATATAATATATCTTATTATTAAGAGCAATATTTCTTTTCTTATTGATAGTTTGATATTGATCTAACTTGCTGTAATGTAATCCAAGCTTTATTTATTTATTTAGTCACAATTTTATCATCTCTCTTACATGACAATGTATCATATGGCATAAAATAATTTTGTCACCTCTTACATGGAAATGTATCGTATGGTACAAAACGATGGAACAAATGAGGTAACTATAGATTCTTTGCTTATTTAAATTTAACGCACTCAATTAAGAAAACAATAATTTATCACCTCTTACATGACAATGTATCATATGGCACAAAACGATGAAACAAATCAAATAACATATAACATCTTGTCTTATTTGAATTTAACACACACAATTAAGAAAACAATAATAGGGACTCAAAAGATGCCTTTGCCAAAAGAAAGAATGGAAAAGATAGTCTGTGCCACAGTAAGCAGCAGTAGTATGGTAGCAGTCGAAAACGAAATCAATGCCCATGGACTGTTGAAGTAATTCCGCTTTAAGTTTGCCATCCACACGTTTCGGCATCCCTTACCATGGTTGTTTACATTAATGAAAACTTCAGGGTAACCAAAGTTTTTAAGATCTGTTAGGGTGATTTTGAACAACTTGTGCCACATGGAGTAAACCTCTGCATCATCACCCACCCAACTTTCAATAATTCCACTACGATTAAGTAAACGAACATCCTTGGAGGCATTGATGAGGTGATCCATGAAGACAATATAGTCACAAACGTACTTTGGCTTATCATATGAAGGACACAGCTCAAATGCGACTAGATTTGTCAAGAAAGACTCTGTATGGTCTGTGATGGATAATAGTGGAATTTCTAAAGCCCCACTAATGAATTTTATATCAAACAAGTTGCTTCCCTCGGCCTTCTTGAATTGAACCCCAGCCTCCTGATGTTCTGTTGCAGAATTTATGAACTGCCATTTCTCTCTCGTTATTACATTTCTATTCGTCTCAGGAAACTTAGAGCACCAACAATTATGTACTAGGTCAAGTACATGTTTGATGTTGTCGATTGAGATTCCACTAGGAGCTTGTAATTCAGTCTGTGGTGTTAAGTTTTTTGGAAAATCTAAGGCTATTTGAATGATTCCCAAGTTTGAATCGCTGTTAGTCATGTCAAACAAACGATTAAGGATAAAGAACGGAAGTTGATTTTCGAGTAGAATTAAATCACGTCCTATGGCAGCCAAAATTTGATCTGATTGGAAAATATGGTCATTCTCATCTACCAGTAGTTGCACAATCTGGAAGGCTTGGAAAATATGGTAATTTCATCTCTCAGTTCTTCTACGGGCTGGACTGATTGGGAAATTTGTTGATTTTCACGTAGTATGCAGAACATCATAAACGTGCGAAATAACTCAATGATAAAGAAACCGTCAAGAAGCATCATTTCCACAAACTGATCTGAGTCAACGCCAAGGCCAAGGATACTGGTTTCTTCCACATAACATTTGCGTGCTCTATCTTCCAATTCTCTTATGGCCATGACATATCTATTCACACTCGTCTCATTTCTTCGACTCAGAAACCTTCGTAGGTACTGTAATTTGTGAAGTTCCATTTCTTGTAGGTGAGCTTTACCCTGATGGTAAGGACCAATAGCAACTATTGATGGTTCATAAGCTTTCTCATTTTCATTTCGTAAGTGATCATACATTCTGAAGATACAACACTCAGAGGATGGATTAGATAAATTAGCAAACTTTTCTACAATACTTATGGAGACATGATCATCAACTCTTTCTTCCAGTTCTCTTGTGCCCATGACTTCCCTGAAACAAACTAATTGTCATGCTTTTGTTATAATTATTAACATAGAAATAATTAATAATAAAAACTTGGTCTTCCGTTTAAATTGGAGGTTAAAATTAACAATTTTAGAATACTTGTCAATTTTATAAAGTTTTAATTTGGTTCGTCCGTCTAAATTAGAGGTTAAAATTAATAATTTTAAAATTCTAGTTAGTTTTTCTAAAGTGTACACACAGACAAAATAACAAAAAATTAGATAAAATGACTAAATTAAAACTAGTTTTAAAGTATAGAACCACATTGTTCAAATTGAACCTATAGAGGCTAAAGTAAAATTTAGGTCAAACTCAAAGTGAAAAGTTTAATTGATTTATTCCAAGCCGATGTGTTTTTCGATAGCAATTGAGCCGTTTGGGTGGACTCTTTTTGTGTTTTTTTCTTTAATTTGTTTGAGAAATTATTAAAAAAAGTTACTTTTGTTAATAAAATAAAAATAAAAATAATAATAAAAAAAAGCACTCGCTATTCAAGACTAAAAATTAGACCTTCTTTTCAAACCCAATAAAAGTCTCTAATTATTATGAAAATATTTCATATCTTTTATGTTATAAAATTTTAATATGAGAGATCTTAAAAAAAATTCTCCAATATTATTTGTTAACTTTTATTTTGGATTATATCAAACGTCAAAAAATATTAAAAAAAAAAATTATCTTTTAAAAAATATTTCCACCCAAATGATCGGAGCTCTACTTTGTTGCCAGTGGTGGCCACACGTGGATAACATAGAACAAAAAATTCTAGCGGGCATAAAGAGAACATGTATCATTTGATTTTGAATAGATACAAATAAAAATTACTTTTTATAACTCAAAAAAAAAAAAAAAAAAAAAAACCAAAAAAAAAAAAAAAAACTTAACCCCTTAATTTCATCAAATTGGTTATAACAACCCCCATCAGGCATTCAGTCGTTGTCACCACCAACCCCACTCGCTGACCACACACCCCAACCCAAAACCAGAAGACAAATCTAACTAGTGCGTGCCTGCAACTTATCAATTGTCTTCGTTACATCCTTAGGCATCTTAAATATAGAAATATAATCTGATGGTAAACAGGCTACTACTGACTTAATCAAAGTCAGTCGACCTGCAAAAGACAACATCTTCCTCTTCCAAAGAGACAGCCTCTTCCTAACTTTATCAACCACGGGCTGCCATGCGGACTTCCTCCTAGGATTAGCTCCTAAAGGTAAGCCCAAATACAGAATAGACAGCTTCTTACTTTGACAATTTAACTCCCCTGCAAAATCCTTCACCGCAGAATCAGAAATGCACACACCACACACTACACTTTTGTGAAAGTTTATCTTTAAGCTAGACATCACTTCAAAGAACCTTAATATCCTTTTAATCAATAGCAGCTCCTTCAAATTTGCCTCGCTGAAAATTATAGTATTGTCCGCAAACTGCAAATGTGAGATGCTCATACCATTAGACCCAACCAAAGCTCCTTTAACCAACCCCAACATCTTAGCTCTATTTAGAAGCAAATTTAACCCCTCAGCCACCAAATAAAATAGGAAAGGTGAGAGTGGGTCACCTTGTCTTAACCCTCTTTGCGGTGAAAACTCTTCAGTGGGTGACCCATTCACCAAAACTGATATTCTAGATGAGGATAGACATTCCTTAATCCACCCTAACCATTTCTCTCCAAACCCAAAATTAGACACCATTGAACACAAGAACTCCCAATTGACCGAATCATACGCCTTCTCGAAATCAAGCTTAAGTATCACCCCTTTTTGCTTTGTTGATTTCCACCACTCAATGATCTCATTGGCAATCAAAACTCCATCTAGAATACATCTTCCTCTAATAAATGTTGTCTGAACCTCAGTAACCAACCTAGGAAAGACCTTCCTAATTCTCCTAGATCGAACTTTAGCTAGAATTTTGTAGATTGAACTCACCAAACTAATTGGCCTGTAATCCACCAAATCTACTGGACTGTCCTTCTTAGGAATCAATGTTATAAATGAACTATTAAGCCCTTTGGCCAACTTACCATTACTATGGAACTCATGCATGAACTAGAGGATTTCACTTCTCATCACCTCCCAATTCTTCTGAATGCAGTAAAGGTTGAAACCATCAGGCCCTGGAGCTTTATTCCCATCACAGTCTTTCACAGCTGCCCACACTTCTTCCAATGTAAACTCTACTTCTAAATCCCTCTTTGCCTCATCATCCCCAATGGTAATAAAAGGACCATCCAGCTTTGATCTGCTTTTCCACTCCTCAAAATACAGTTTTCTAAAATGCCCTACCACTACTTGTTTCACCCTCTTTGGTTCCCCAATAACTTCCCCATTCTGAACAACTGTATCAATTAAATTCTTGGCTTGTCTCCTCTTAACCATCACATGAAAGAATCTCATATTTTTATCGCCATCTTGAGCCCATTTAATTCTAGATTTTTGTTGCCAGATCCATCCCAATCTCTTCTTCAGCTTCCATACTAAACTTCTTAACTCTCTTCTTCCACCAATTTCAGTGTCCAGAAAAGGCCCAACTTCAGCTTTTAAGTCAATCTCATGGAGCTCCTCCTCAGCGGATTTTAACTGAAGATCAACATTTCCGAAGTCCTCCACATTCCATTTCTTCAATGCCATCTTCAGAGATGCTAATCTTTCCTTCAACCTAAAGCCAGCCCAACCATAAGTCTCAGCCTCTGTCCAAGATTTCTTTTCCATAGCCATAAAAGTAGGATGCAAACTCCATGCATTTAGGAACCTAAAAGGTCTAGGACCCCAGTCTCTTTCATCCTCTATCAGCACCAATGGACAATGATCAAAAAAACTCCTTGGAAGGCCCCACTGCTTAAGGCTAAACTTCTCTAGCCACAAGGAATCTAATAAAAACCTATCAATTCTACTCCATCTATCTCCTTCCACTGAATTACACCATGTAAAGCCTCTCACTAACACAGGCAAATCTAAGAACTCCATACGTTCAATAAACTCATTAAATTCAATCATTCCTTTGTCCCTTCTCAGGAAACTCCTTCTTTCATTCAAAAATCGAATTTCATTAAATCCCCTCCAATACACCAAGGTTTGTGAAAAGATGACTTCAGCCTTCCCAATGCTTCCCATAACTGACCCCTACTCCTCACATTATTAGGAGTATCGATGTTAACAATTACACACTCAAAGGATTGCTTAAAAATACCTGATAGAAGTAAAAAATTCCTCGAACTGCAGCACTTTGAAATCTGGAAGACCCCAGGATTCCACACACGTAGCAAGCCCCCCGCACTTCCCACCGAATCCACTGCCAAAAACTGCAAAGAATCAAGTGGCCTCAAGGACTTCACGAGCAATTCATCAACATTGGATTTCTTAGTTTCTTGTAACAACAACATATCCAACTTTTTATCCTTAACCAACTTCAAAATTTTTCCCCTTTTATCTTTCCTCCCCAACCCTCTTACATTCCATGACATGATCTTCATTGGAAAACTTAAAACTACTCCTGAGACCCCCTTTTCACCCATCTTAAACTGGGGCTACCCTCAGCCCTCCTTCCATCTTTTCCTTATCTTGTAGCTCCATTTTCACAATCCGATTCACAACTTCCTCCTCCTTTCCCTTGCAATTCATCCCCAACAACTTACCCATTGAACCGTTTCACGAGCTTCCTTCAGCAACGCAGCTCTTCCGCTGGGACAACTCGTCTGAGGTACTGATAATGAAGCTGCAATGGCTACAGCTCTGCATATAGCCCCTCTGGAAAAACAGCTCGAACGCACCATGACCCTCTGGTTCATCTTTTTCTGCATATACTTCTTCACACCAAAATCTCTCGGCCCTCTGCTTCCATCTTTTCTCTTTCTAGACAACACACCTGTACTTTTTCTATCTGGCACCAACTGTTTAGAACCTGGCCCAAGACACCCATCAAATGGACTACATACTTCCTGCCCCAACGAAACCCTCCTTTGGGCCAAACATACGTATAATTATTAACATAGAAATAATTAACAATAAATAATTTGGTCATTCCGTCTAAATTGGAAGCTAAAATTAATAATTTTAGAATACTTGTCAATTTTTTGAGAGTTTAATTTGGTTCTTCCGTCTATATTAAAGGTTAAAATTAATAATTTTAGAATTCTAATCAATTTGTCTAAGATATACACACATCCAAAATAACAAAAATTTAGACAGAATAATCAAATTAAAATTAAGTTTAAAGTGTAAGAACCGCATTATTCAAATTTAACCTATAGAAACTAAAGTGAAATTTAGATCAAACTCAGGATGAGAATTGTAATTGATCTATTCCTACAAGATGTGTTTTTCGATAGCAAGTGAGCCATTTGGGTTTATTCTTTTTGTATTTTTTTTCTTTAATATGTTTGAGAAATTATTTAAAAAGTTACTTTTGTTTTAAAAAAAATGACATTTGAATTTTTTAACTAATGACAAAAGATTGCTAGGAATTATAAAAAAAAAAAATATCATGAAAGATTTTCTACTCTTGGATTTTCCACTAATCAAATGATGAAAATTTTTCATAAAGTATTTCACAATTTTTTTTTTATTTTTATTTTAATGATCCTTAGTATTATTTCAAAAGATTTGATGAATTTTTAGCTTACTTTAATAGAAGCGGACTTTGTTACGACGTTGGCAAACATACTGTCCTTCTATGTTTCCTCAATATTCACTTGTGAGAAATATAAGGATCTAAACTGCCTTTTTTAATATATTGTATATATTTTGTGATAAACGTTACATGATTTCCTAATAAATCACGATAATTTATAGTTTAAAAATAAAATTATGTATTTTTATGGCTTACAATAATATTGAACTATAGAATGTGTCACATTATACCACAAAAAATGCATAGCATTTCAACAAAATTGTAAAATTTCATTTTTGAATTGTAAATTGTCATTATTCTACCAAAAAATTATATACATCTACAACAAAAATGTATAACTTATATGAAGAAAATGCCTAACAAGGTAAATATAAGGGGGACGTACTAAAAATATTCTCTTTCTTATAATTATCATGTGTTAGGGAGTTACTACGGTGTACATATTTTAAAAGGACATATCGTATAGACTTTGGTCCCGTTTGGTAGAGCTGTGGGAAAGTGATTATAGCTTATAACTTAATAGCTTATAACTTATAACTTATAACTGTGAATATAAGCTGATTTTTGACTTACAAAAAGTTATAAGCCGTATTATTGAGCTGAACCAAACACATCAAAATAGCATAAATTAAGCTAAAAGCTAAAATAAGCAGGAAATAAATCCTACCAAACAGGGCGTTTACTACAATAGATGTAACTTAAGTGTAATATTCCTTAACAAATACCACATATGTCCTTCCCTCTAGGTTGTTCACTATTTTTTTTAGTAGATAGATTGATTTAGGGTTGATATTTTATGTAACCCAACGTTTTCTTTTTCTTTTTTTTTTGGGATTGACAATGTAACCTGAGAGGGTAATTTTTGGGAAAAATTGGGCCGAGCTTCGAGTTGGGCTTTAAGGCCCAAAACACGAAGGATTAAGTAAAAAGGCCGTAATGGATACTTCGGCCTAGGGGGCAAGGTTACTCCGGTCTTGAGGAGACAAAGTTACTTCGGCCCAAGGAGGTGAGGTTACTCCGGCTCATGAAGAGATAGATGCTTTGGTCCAAGGAGAAGTAAAGCTACTCCGGTCCGTAGGCAACTCGGAATTAGGCCGGTCTCAGAGTTAGTCCGGCCGCAGTATGTTCTGGGAAGGCCGGTTTTGGAATTAGTCCGGTCGTGACGTACTATGGTTAGGTCCGGTCAGACCTTGCTACTTGGAAGTTTGAGCTCGCCAAGGTTGGTGGTGGAATTGAAATTGCAACTATCTTAATGCATTGTTACACATTGCATTGCCATTCCATTTCATGTTATCATGAATTTTGAATTACAATTGAAAACTATTGTTTTGAGAAAGGAATTGTTTTTGAGAAACAAGATCATTTCGATTTGTTTTGGGTAAATACGTTGGTAAGTTCAGGTGGGGATGTAGTTTGATATTGGTTAAGTTAGCCTAAGTGTCCATGGTGAAAGACCAAAAACCCGCGCGAATAGGTGTCGAGCCTTGTGATTAATACCTGTAAAAATGACAATTTGGTAGTACTTGTATAGTCTACTTCCAGACACCAACCTAGGGATTACCTAAGTCGTATTTACTATCTTGAAATTTTATTGAAATTGTTGGATTAATGTATTTTCAAATTGGTATTGCGCATAAGATTTTCAAAAGATGAGAAAAATATTTTGAGCATGATATGGCATATACATTCTTCTCATAAGACTGTATAAAATGGATTTGATGAATTGTTTAATTATTTGATTCAATTGATAATGAAATAACTGAATGAATTGAAAAGGATGTCCTGTTGCTATTAAAACTTATTTATTTATTTAAGTTAACTTGTTGTGGTTAATTAAATAAATTGAATTTAAGAGATTATGTAATAAAATCATATGATTTTGACATTATATGTACGAGATATATTCCTAATAGCATGCTAATAGCTGTGTGGTGGTTTTGTCAATTTGTAAATTTGGATTGTGATGGTCGATATTGTTTTTGTTATATATAATAAAAGGTTTTTTTTTTTTTTAAATTTTACTCAAAAAAGAAGAAGAAGAAGAAGAAGAAGAAGATTGGAATGTGGCAGTGAGTTATTTGTAAGTAAAATCAAGTTGTGTGACATTTTTAAAAAGAGAAATATTTGAAATATTTTTCAATTTTCTGTAAGTGTGAGTAAGAAAATATCTCTTGGAAAAAAATGATTGTGTTTTGACTTTCTAAAGATTTATATTGTGGGGTGAATGATATATGTGTGTTTTCCAATTCTTTATTATAAAAGGATAATAAACTTATTTGTGAAAAAAAAAAGAATTTTAAGAGGTGAAAAATATTTTATTTCAAGTTCCTATCATGGGAAAAACAAAATGAAAAGAAACTAGTGACTCCCACTGAATGTGAGATCACTAGCCAAAATGCATAGTTCCTAATAGTAGGCTACTGATTATGAAAATTTGTAATTCCTAGTAATATGGCTATTGACTACTTGGAACAAATATATTTGATGGATTCAATATGTTATCTCAGTTCGGAAAACATAAGGATCGTACTTGCTTGATGGATCCATGTTGCCTTGAGGAAAAATTGGATATATTTGCGTGATGAGTCCAATTTAAAACCCTAAAAGGGAAAATTGTGGTGCGCAATAAATAAAAATGGGCTTTATTATGAGATATTTCATGTAATGGATAAAATAATTGATCAACTGATATATGAAATTTGAAGTTTGAGAAGCTCAAAATTATTATGACTTGAGAAGTTAAATATTGAGGCAAATATTATTAATAAACTCGAGGAGTCATCGCCTCTAGACTAGCAAGGCTAGAACCATATTTATATGTCAAGGGGGATGGGCTAAGCCGAAAGGAAGTAACCTAAGGAAGTAACCCAACCTCTATGATTGGAAACCTCATGAAGGAGGTTCAATGGGTAGAAACAATCCTTAAAATGCGACTTAATTCCAGCACTTAATATTTTAGGAGACACCATAAAAGTTGTTCTCCTATCCATCCCTAAGGAAACAATGCTAATGAGTGACTGGCTAGGAAGGATTTTACCCTGAATGAAATCAAGGCCTCTTGTAAGGTGTATTCTGTCAGTTTACCTTTGAAGGATTCTACTAAATGGAAACCATTGTGAGGCCGCGATCGTGGGACTTGGGCTAGTCTCTAAAATTTCCATGAGATTCAAGATCAGAGTGCATGACCATTAAAATCACTAATCCGCGAACTATTGTTTAATACCAGTGTTATGTGTGTGACATGTTAACCTTTGGTTCAAAGAGTCTAGTTCAAGTTCACTAAGATTTTTTGGAGGGAAACTGTTATCACTAAGTGAGATTCAAGTCCGGTAGATGCCTACACCTATTACACAGTATATGTTGCCCATTATATATGTTCCATATCTATATTATTTTGAATTGTAGTTTTGAAATGTGGGGATATGTTGCAAATTTTGTAAAAATATTAAAACTATTTATTTTTATTAAAAGTGGGAGATTGTTGGGATATTTTTAACAAAAATAAAATAATATATTGTTTTAATAAATTCAATAAATTGTGAATCACAAAAAGTTTTATATATATCTCATTATTTCTTTGTTTAATATAATGTTAAATGGTGGTTTATTGTTATCATTAAGTGAATTTTTATTATATAAGTTACTAATATATAGTGCTATATAAGTATGTGGTTTTCTATGAGTTGGAAGATGCATAAGACACAAAAAGAGATTGAAAAGATGATTTGGGAGATGAAATGTTTTATCAGAGTTTTATATTGTATTTTGGGCAATTTTGGTTTGTGATATGGTTCAAGCCTCTTGGTGGTCGTGAACACTATATGAGGGACGCTGTGAGCAATATGGATTTTTATCTTGGAACTCTTTCACTCCATTTGTACTTTCACGAGGGGAGGAAAAAAAAATTTAGGACAGTGATAAAATGACTCCCAAAATCTCACAGTTATGTTTCAGTACACTTAATTTTCTCTCTGTATATTAATGTTTATTATCATTGATATTATATAACAAAAATGCTTGGAACCTCTAATTAGGGGTGCCACTAGTGATGTGAATGCTGTGTCTGTTTATTTTTTATTTTTTATTTTTTTTTCCTTTTCCACCTCATTAGAGGTCTGTTTAGAGCCTCTAAGTTAGACGTCTCTAGCATCACTGATTATATAATTCATACTAATTATCTTATTTATTATATTGTTTGACTAACAATCCATTTGGAAGTGTAGGAATGAATGTGTTTTCAATGGATCTCAGCATCAACTGGATGTATTATGTGAATTGGTGAAGGTTAGGATTGTCGATTAAATACCACTTTCCTCACACTTCTGTACTCTTGTAGAAGCTTTGAAGGTGTCGTCCATGTAATTGAGCTACTCTGTTTTGTTTGTGATTGAGCAGCAGGGGAGTATTGTGATGGTTTCTCACCAACTCCCTTAGCTTGAGTTAGTATATAATTGTGTGATCTCCTTGGTGCTAACTTGTGATTTGGATGCGTCACTATGATGCTTTTTGCCCTTGACTTCCTTTTACTGGTATAATCTCATATTTGATGTATGTGTTTTATCATTAATAAAGTTTATTTTTGTTGATAAATATATATATATATATATATATATGCATTCTTAGTTATACCATTTTCTTATTTAGTTATAACCAATTTTCTTCTTTACTTATAACATTATTTTAGTTATGACACATGAGATCTTTAGTTATGCCTTTTATTGTATTTAGTTATGACATTTTATTTATTAGTCATAAAATACATATGATATACACATTTTGAAAGGGATGTACCATAATATTACTCATGATTTTATTATATGATTTACATAATTATATTGGATTACTTATTGTAAGCCATTTACTCTCTTTTACTCAAATCATTATGGATCATAATCAATAGAGACTCCCATTACTCAATCATTATGGACCATAATGAATAGAGAATATATTTTGGGAGAATCGTCTCTCCAATTGGGATATCAATTGGAGGGTATTGTTGGATTTCTGTGAGCTCACCACAGAACTCACATCGATAATTTTAAATATTAAATGTATACGTCTCATCAAGTATTTTAGCCGTGCAAAATATTACATTGATCAGATATCGACAACCACTTGATCAGATCACATTTGTATCAGTAATTTATTTTTAAAATTATATTTGTCATTTTAACAAATGTGATATGATTAATTGATTGTCGATATCTGATTAACGTGATTTTTTTTTATAAAAATAAAATATTCGACGAATCTTACACATTGAATAATTTGAATCATCAATATAGATACCGTCACAGGCCCACAGAAGCCAAATAATATTCTCTAATCTGATATAAATCGGACAGAAGCCTATCCTCTATGTTTTTCATTGTTGTCCCATGAACCAAATGATTAACGGACAGTCACGTCAGCCACTTTTATTCACACATTTACTCTAAATTCTTTACTTTTGTGTGCCTGGGGAAATTATTTTTCTCTGTTCCTTTTTCTTCCCTTTGTCTGCCCCAGTCTAACCTTCGGTTATTGAGTTTATTTGGTATAATTTATTGTAAATTAAAAATTGATAATCAAAAGTGTAGGTCAAAAATACAAAATTTTTAACCTTTGGATAATCAATTTTTTTCAACTCATTTCAGAAAAACAAAAAAGAGCGAGACATTCCTCTACAAATTTATACAAGAGCATAAGGACACCCTACAGTTTATTTGCTAGTTAAAGTCCCTGGTTGTTTAAACTTCAGATGTTTAGGTCTAGTTCTGGTATTTTTGTAAAATGGTTTAGTAAATAATATGGTCCTTTTTCACCTGGTCTATTTCTCTTTTGTTTTTAGTGTAGTTTTTATTGTTTCTCCACATCACATCAAACGCCATGATTTTCCACTACTACAGATTCTGAAGGCTATCAATGTCATCCCATTACTGAGATCTCTCGTCCTGAATCACATAGGTGAACATAGAATGTGTCTCAACTCCGTGGTTTTACACATAATACTCTGAAGATGTGTAGAGAACACACTTCATTTGTTACAAATGATTCAATTGATGATATATATCTTTTGTATCTCTGCATTGTGGACATTTTAAATCCCAAGTGATTGAATAGATATTCGGTTTCAGTTTTCATTATCGTTTTAGTGGTGATATAGTACTAGATGTTTGTTCAAAACTTTTGATTAGATGACAAAGTGGTTGATTAGGGTGCATTACAATGGGAATTACTTAATATTGTTCTTAATTACTTGTTTTGGTTTTAATTTTTAATTCTAGATCTGTGGAATATGAATGAATTGGATTTGATCAGAGTTTGAAGAAATCCACATATGTTCTTTGAGCTTTCTCTCTGGCTCCAAAGAAGATGATCATTGTTTCGTAGCTTTTAGGCATATTTGCTTGGGTAGATTTTGTCATGGAATTGTCGAAAGTGGGAGATTGTTAATGTTTGGAGCCTATACTAGGTTAACAATCCTTTAAACAAAAATCTAGTTAAATCGTTATTGTTTTAATTTGAACTATATTTATTTTAGAAGTTCAAGATAGATTCTTTGCTTATTTAAATTTAACACACTCAATTAAGAAAACAATAATTTATCACCTCTTACATGACAATGTATCATATGGCATAAAATAATTTTGTCACCTCTTACATGGAAATGTATCGTATGGTACAAAACGATGGAACAAATGAGGTAACTATAGATTCTTTGCTTATTTAAATTTAACACACTCAATTAAGAAAACAATAATTTATCACCTCTTACATGACAATGTATCATATGGCATAAAATAATTTTGTCACCTCTTACATGGAAATGTATCGTATGGTACAAAACGATGGAACAAATGAGGTAACTATAGATTCTTTGCTTATTTAAATTTAACACACTCAATTAAGAAAACAATAATTTATCACCTCTTACATGACAATGTATCATATGGCATAAAATAATTTTGTCACCTCTTACATGGAAATGTATCGTATGGTACAAAACGATGGAACAAATGAGGTAACTATAGATTCTTTGCTTATTTAAATTTAACACACTCAATTAAGAAAACAATAATTTATCACCTCTTACATGACAATGTATCATATGGCATAAAATAATTTTGTCACCTCTTACATGGAAATGTATCGTATGGTACAAAACGATGGAACAAATGAGGTAACTATAGATTCTTTGCTTATTTAAATTTAACACACTCAATTAAGAAAACAATAATTTATCACCTCTTACATGACAATGTATCATATGGCACAAAACGATGAAACAAATCAAATAACATATAACATCTTGTCTTATTTGAATTTAACACACACAATTAAGAAAACAATAATAGGGACTCAAAAGCTGCCTTTGCCAAAAGAAAGAATGGAAAAGATAGTTTGTGCCACAGTAAGCAGCAGTAGTATGGTAGCAGCCGAAAATGAAATCAATGCCCATGGACTGTTGAAGTAATTCCGCTTTAAGTTTGCCATCCACACGTTTCGGCATCCCTTACAATGGTTGTTTACATTAATGAAAACTTCAGGGTAACCAAAGTTTTTAAGATCTGTTAGGGTGATTTTTAACAACTTGTGCCACATGGAGTAAACCTCTGCATCATCACCCACCCAACTTTCAATAATTCCACTACGATTAAGTAAACGAACATCCTTGGAGGCATTGATGAGGTGATCCATGAAGACAATATAGTCACAAACGTACTTTGGCTTATCATATGAAGGACACAGCTCAAATGCAACTAGATTTGTCAAGAAAGACTCTGTATGGTCTGTGATGGATAATAGTGGAATTTCTAAAGCCCCACTAATGAATTTTATATCAAACAAGTTGCTTCCCTCGGCCTTCTTGAATTGAACCCCAGCCTCCTGAAGTTCTGTTGCAGAATTTATGAACTGCCATTTCTCTCTCGTTATTACATTTCTATTCGTCTCAGGAAACTTAGAGCACCAACAATTATGTACTAGGTCAAGTACATGTTTAATGTTGTCGATTGAGATTCCACTAGGAGCTTATAATTCAGTCTGTGGTGTTAAGTTTCTTGGAAAATCTAAGGCTATTTGAATGATTCCCAAGTTTGAATCGTTGTTAGTCATGTCAAACAAACGATTAAGGATAAAGAACGGAAGTTGATTTTCGAGTAGAATTAAATCACGTCCTATGGCAGCCAAAATTTGATCTGATTGGAAAATATGGTCATTCTCATCTACCAGTAGTTGCACAATCTGGAAGGCTTGGAAATATGGTAATTTCATCTCTCAGTTCTTCTACGGGCTGGACTGATTGGGAAATTTGTTGATTTTCACGTAGTATGCAGAACATCGTAAACGTGCGAAATAACTCAATGATAAAGAAACCGTCAAGAAGCATCATTTCCACAAACTGATCTGAGTCAACGCCAAGGCCAAGGATACTGGTTTCTTCCACATAACATTTGCGTGCTCTATCTTCCAATTCTCTTATGGCCATGACATATCTATTCACACTCGTCTCATTTCTTCGACTCAGAAACCTTCGTAGGTACTGTAATTTGTGAAGTTCCATTTCTTGTAGGTGAGCTTTACCCTGATGGTAAGGACCAATAGCAACTATTGATGGTTCATAAGCTTTCTCATTTTCATTTCGTAAGTGATCATACATTCTGAAGATACAACACTCAGAGGATGGATTAGATAAATTAGCAAACTTTTCTACAATACTTATGGAGACATGATCATCAACTCTTTCTTCCAGTTCTCTTGTGCCCATGACTTCCCTTCCCCGAAACAAACAAATTGTCACGCTTCTGTTATATATATATATATATATGTATAATTTTTTTTTATTAGCAAAAAAACTTTATTAATGACCACAAAGTAAAACAAGGTGGTACCAAGTGATACATCAATAAAGAGAGGAAATAGTACTTAAGCATCATAACCAATGTGAAAATCCCAATAACGTTGGCACTCACACACGGGCGTAAACAAATGCTAGCACAAAACCTTGGTTGATAAGTCACCAACTGAAACAGCAGTACACTACTCAGCAACTGCACAAACAAGACTACACATAGCAGCAATAGGACTGACAGCAAAACCAGCTCATGCTGCCTAGTAAAAGGCCACAGCAGAACCAGATTCATGCACCCGTCACCTCAAACAATGTCTAACCTGTTGAAGATTATGAACAAAACCATGCACAGTGTAATTCACATTTGGTAACCTACTCCTAGCCCAAAACGCTATCCTTGTCTTCACCATATCTCCAAATCAGCAAAATTAGGATGAGCATCATTAAACAATACATCATTCCTCAACCTCCAAATCGACCACAATAAGACTAATGGCATAATTTTCCACACCTCCACCTCTTTTTTCTTAAATGAAGCCCCTGCCCACCAATGCAACAAAGCCTCAATAGACCCAAGGATTACCCACCACATATCCCACCATCTTATAATTCGAGACCAGACTCTCCAAATCAATGGGCAGTGCAATAAAACATGATTTACACTCTCAGATTCCTTTTGACAGAATACACACTGTGTGCTAGCATTTGCACCCAACACCCCTATTCTCTGCAGGAATTCTGATGTTTTCACCCTTCCCTTCCATGCTAACCAGCCAAAAAATTGGATTTTGGGAGCGGCTACATTTTGCCACAGCTCAATTGTTACATGCAGCTTCGGTCCCTTATCTACTTGCAACCATTTCCAAACTGATGCCACTGAAAACTGATTTGATGGATCAATCTCCCACCTCAAACGGTCATCCATAGTCCCCCTGTTTATAGGAACTGAACTCAGCCACTCACATAGCCTGTTAACCTTCACTTCTTTCCATGCTTGCAGCCCTCTTCTAAATGCCAGGTTCCATTCCCCCGTCCTTTCTCTACTCAAATTGTATTGCATCAAAGAGCCTTCCTTTGCGACAGATAGACTAAACAATCTTGAAAACTTTTCACTGAGCCTACAACTATTCCACCAAATATCAGTCCAGAAATGGACTCTTGCTCCATTCCCAACCCTTATCTTTGTGTTTTCCACATAGAAATCAAGCACCTGAGGATAATCCTTTGCAATACTTAGAAATACCTTGCCAAATTGGAGACAAATCACCCGTTTCACCAACATCAGGCCACCACCCACCACCATATTGCCCATATTTACTACAGATCACAGCCCTCCACAAGGCTTTGTCTTCAACACCATATCACCACCACCATTTTAGTGATAAACAAACATTCATTTCACTTAGACTTCTGACCCCTAACCCACCTTGCTTTTGGGCTTAATAAGCTCCTGCCATGTCACCAAATGCACTTTCCTCTTAACCTCACTGCTTCCCCAGAGAAACATTGCCTGCAACTTATCAATTGTCTTCGCTACACCCTTAGGTATCTTAAATATAGAAATATAATCTGATGGTAAACAGGCTACTACTGACTTAATCAAAGTCAGTCGACCTGCAAAAGACAACATCTTCCTCTTCCAAAGAGACAGCCTTTTCCTAACTTTATCAACCACGGGCTGCCATGCGGACTTCCTCCTAGGATTAGCTCCTAAAGGTAAGCCCAAATACAGAATAGACAGCTTCTTACTTTGACAATTTAACTCCCCTGCAAAATCCTTCACCGCAGAATCAGAAATGCACACACCACACACTACACTTTTGTGAAAGTTTATCTTTAAGCTAGACATCACTTCAAAGAACCTTAATATCCTTTTAATCAATAGCAGCTCCTTCAAATTTGCCTCGCTGAAAATTATAGTATTGTCCGCAAACTGCAAATGTGAGATGCTCATACCATTAGACCCAACCAAAGCTCCTTTAACCAACCCCAACATCTTAGCTCTATTTAGAAGCAAATTTAACCCCTCAGCCACCAAATAAAATAGGAAAGGTGAGAGTGGGTCACCTTGTCTTAACCCTCTTTGCGGTGAAAACTCTTCAGTGGGTGACCCATTCACCAAAACTGATATTCTAGATGAGGATAGACATTCCTTAATCCACCCTAACCATTTCTCTCCAAACCCAAAATTAGACACCATTGAACACAAGAACTCCCAATTGATCGAATCATGCGCCTTCTCGAAATCGAGCTTAAGTATCACCCCTTTTTGCTTTGTTGATTTCCACCACTCAATGATCTCATTGGCAATCAAAACTCCATCTAGAATACATCTTCCTCTAATAAATGTTGTCTGAACCTCAGTAACCAACCTAGGAAAGACCTTCCTAATTCTCCTAGATCGAACTTTAGCTAGAATTTTGTAGATTGAACTCACCAAACTAATTGGCCTGTAATCCAGCAAATCTACTGGACTGTCCTTCTTAGGAATCAATGTTATAAATGAACTATTAAGCCCTTTGGCCAACTTACCATTACTATGGAACTCATGCATGAACTAGAGGATTTCACTTCTCATCACCTCCCAATTCTTCTGAATGCAGTAAAGGTTGAAACCATCAGGCCCTGGAGCTTTATTCCCATCACAGTCTTTCACAGCTGCCCACACTTCTTCCAATGTAAACTCTACTTCTAAATCCCTCTTTGCCTCATCATCCCCAATGGTAATAAAAGGACCATCCAGCTTTGATCTGCTTTTCCACTCCTCAAAATACAGTTTTCTAAAATGCCCTACCACTACTTGTTTCACCCTCTTTGGTTCCCCAATAACTTCCCCATTCTGAACAACTGTATCAATTAAATTCTTGCCTTGTCTCCTCTTAACCATCACATGAAAGAATCTCATATTTTTATCCCCATCTTGAGCCCATTTAATTCTAGATTTTTGTTGCCAGATCCATCCCAATCTCTTCTTCAGCTTCCATACTAAACTTCTTAACTCTCTTCTTCCACCAATTTCAGTGTCCAGAAAAGGCCCAACTTCAGCTTTTAAGTCAATCTCATGGAGCTCCTCCTCAGCGGATTTTAACTGAAGATCAACATTTCCGAAGTCCTCCACATTCCATTTCTTCAATGCCATCTTCAGAGATGCTAATCTTTCCTTCAACCTAAAGCCAGCCCAACCATAAGTCTCAGCCTCTGTCCAAGATTTCTTTTCCATAGCCATAAAAGTAGGATGCAAACTCCATGCATTTAGGAACCTAAAAGGTCTAGGACCCCAGTCTCTTTCATCCTCTATCAGCACCAATGGACAATGATCAAAAAAACTCCTTGGAAGGCCCCACTGCTTAAGGCTAAACTTCTCTAGCCACAAGGAATCTAATAAAAACCTATCAATTCTACTCCATCTATCTCCTTCCACTGAATTACACCATGTAAAGCCTCTCACTAACAAAGGCAAATCTAAGAACTCCATACGTTCAATAAACTCATTAAATTCAATCATTCCTTTGTCCCTTCTCAGGAAACTCCTTCTTTCATTCAAAAATCGAATTTCATTAAAATCCCCTCCAATACACCAAGGTTTGTGAAAAGATGACTTCAGCCTTCCCAATGCTTCCCATAACTGACCCCTACTCCTCACATTATTAGGAGCATCGATGTTAACAATTACACACTCAAAGGATTGCTTAAAAATACCTGATAGAAGTAAAAAATTCCTCGAACTGCAGCACTCTGAAATCTGGAAGACCCCAGGATTCCACACACGTAGCAAGCCCCCTGTACTTCCCACCGAATCCACTGCCAAAAACTGCAAAGAATCAAGTGGCCTCAAGGACTTCACGAGCAATTCATCAACATTGGATTTCTTAGTTTCTTGTAACAACAACATATCCAACTTTTTATCCTTAACCAACTTCAAAATTTTTCCCCTTTTATCTTTCCTCCCCAACCCTCTTACATTCCATGACATGATCTTCATTGGAAAACTTAAAACTACTCCTGAGACCCCCTTTTCATCCATCTTAAACTGGGGCTACCCTCAGCCCTCCTTCCATCTTTTCCTTATCTTGTAGCTCCATTTTCACAATCCGATTCACAACTTCCTCCTCCTTTCCCTTGCAATTCATCCCCAACAACTTACCCAATTGAACCATTTCACGAGCTTCCTTCAGCAACGCAGCTCTTCCGCTGGGACAACTCGTCTGAGGTACTGATAATGAAGCTACAATGGCTACAGCTCTGCATATAGCCCCTCTGGAAAAACAGCTCAAACGCACCATGACCCTCTGGTTCATCTTTTTCTGCATATACTTCTTCACACCAGAATCTCTCGGCCCTCTGCTTCCATCTTTTCTCTTTCTAGACAACACACCTGTACTTTTTCTATCTGGCACCAACTGTTTAGAACCTGGCCCAAGACACCCATCAAATGGACTACATACTTCCTGCCCCAACGAAACCCTCATTTGGGCCAAACATACGTATAATTATTAACATAGAAATAATTAACAATAAATAATTTGGTCATTCCGTCTAAATTGGAAGCTAAAATTAATAATTTTAGAATACTTGTCAATTTTTTGAGAGTTTAATTTGGTTCTTCCGTCTATATTAAAGGTTAAAATTAATAATTTTAGAATTCTAATCAATTTGTCTAAGATATACACACATCCAAAATAACAAAAATTTAGACAGAATAATCAAATTAAAATTAAGTTTAAAGTGTAAGAACCGCATTATTCAAATTTAACCTATAGAAACTAAAGTGAAATTTAGATCAAACTCAGGATGAGAATTGTAATTGATCTATTCCTACAAGATGTGTTTTTCGATAGCAAGTGAGCCATTTGGGTTTATTCTTTTTGTAATTTTTTTCTTTAATATGTTTGAGAAATTATTTAAAAAGTTACTTTTGTTTTAAAAAAAAATGACATTTGAATTTTTTAACTAATGACAAAAGATTGCTAGGAATTATAAAAAAAAAATATCATGAAAGATTTTCTACTCTTGGATTTTCCACTAATCAAATGATGAAAATTTTTCATAAAGTATTTCACAATTTTTTTTTTATTTTTATTTTAATGATCCTTAGTATTATTTCAAAAGATTTGATGAATTTTTAGCTTACTTTAATAGAAGCGGACTTTGTTACGACGTTGGCAAACATACTGTCCTTCTATGTTTCCTCAATATTCACTTGTGAGAAATATAAGGATCTAAACTGCCTTTTTTAATATATTGTATATATTTTGTGATAAACGTTACATGATTTCCTAATAAATCACGATAATTTATAGTTTAAAAATAAAATTATGTATTTTTATGGCTTACAATAATATTGAACTATAGAATGTGTAACATTATACCACAAAAAATGCATAGCATTTCAACAAAATTGTAAAATTTCATTTTTGAATTATAAATTGTCATTATTCTACCAAAAAATTATATACATCTACAACAAAAATGTATAACTTATATGAAGAAAATGCCTAACAAGGTAAATATAAGGGGGACGTACTAAAAATATTCTCTTTCTTATAATTATCATGTGTTAGGGAGTTACTACGGTGTACATATTTAAAAACGACATATCGTATAGACTTTGGTCCCGTTTGGTAGAGCTGTGGGAAAGTGATTATAACTTATAACTTAATAGCTTATAACTTATAACTTATAACTGTGAATATAAGCTGATTTTTTACTAATAAATTAAGCTTCTCCTCCCCCACTCAAAGAATAAGTTGATTTTTGACTTACAAAAAGTTATAAGCCGTATTATTGAGCTGAACCAAACACATCAAAATAGCATAAATTAAGCTAAAAGCTAAAATAAGCTGGAAATAAATCCTACCAAACAGGGCGTTTACTACAATAGATGTAACTTAAGTGTAATATTCCTTAACAAATACCACATATGTCCTTCCCTCTAGGTTGTTCACTATTTTTTTTAGTAGATAGATTGATTTAGGGTTGATATTTTATGTAACCCAACGTTTTCTTTTTCTTTTTTTTTTGGGATTGACAATCCATTATTATTTTTTATAGCTCAATATATATACAAGAAAATATGCTTATTTATATATATATATATATATATATTATCTTTTTTTTATTTATATATTTCATCTTATTTTTTACTTTTTATATTAATAGAAATTGATATAGTTCATATTTTTTTAAAGAAATTATTAATATATGTTTGTTTCTCTATGCTAAAATTTTGAATCAGTCCCTGATTCTGACTTCTGAACCTTTCAAAATTTTCACGAGGAGAAAAGGAATTAATGCGAGTTGGTGCCAAATCAATATTCAATCATTAAATATATGTGGACAAAAATCAGGCATAAAAATATATTTAAAAATTAATAAATGATTTAAATTCAACATTTTGTATAGTATAACACATCAGGATAGCGTGGTTGGCCCAATAATCCATGTATTTGCGCTGTTATGTTTGCAATTTTCAAAAACAGTTTTTTAAATTTTCAATTCATATTTTTAAATTTTTAATGATTTTAATTTTTTTTAATATTTAAATTCACTTAAGCCTAACATACTTAAAAAGTAAAAAATTTGTACAAAAATATTTTAAAAATTCATTGAATACAACAAAATATGAAAATGTATTGAATTTTCATATTTCTTTTGTCTTTTTTTGTATTTGGAGAATTTTTTTTATTTTCTTCCATAAATATTATATTTTTTAAGCATATTTAGATTATGTATATGTAAAAAATAAAAATTTTGCTTAAAATATTAAAAAAAAATTACTAAAAACAAAAAAATACGAAAAACAAAAAACTATGTGATTTAGAGCTACCACTGTAGTTTTTTAATAGAGTAATTGTGAGATTTCATTTTTTTATATATATAATTTCATATTCAATATAGATCCCCTTCAAGGAAAATTCACCTATAAATTCTATCTTGAGGAATGTGATCCGTTTAATCTCAAGAATTTTTTTATAGACCAATTAGTATAATTGATTTTGCAAATGTAAATTTAATATATTATTTGAAAATTAAATTTACAGTTATACCCTTATTTATATTATGTTTTCTTTTTCTTCTTTTATGCTAGAAAAGTAAGATACACAATTTATGAGAATCAAATATGTGATGAATTTTTATATGATAAACTTTTTATTTTGAAAAAATTTCAAAAGGAATACAAAAATAACTTGAAATATGTAATTCTTCAAACATTCTAAAAAGATGTGAGATTTTTCAAACATTTCAAGAGGAATACAAAAACTCCTTTATAAATTTTGGACAAATGTATAATTTCAAAATATAACACTATAATATAACATTCTAACAAAATTTCTTGAGAGAAAGCCAATTAACCCTTGGGAAACTGAGAGTAGGATATTGGCACCTCATCGCACGAAAGATCAACAACCAACAAGTGTAATGCGATCTGCATTCCAAGCGTATTTCCAAGTTTGTCTGAAAAGCCATTACATTATGTTCAGCTAGCACTAAAAATGCTACTCCTTGTAGAACTGGTAGAATTATTCCAAGTGTTTCGGATAGAACAACTGTGTACTTTTTTTTAAATGTAACATTCTAATCTAACATTTCAAATAAACTCTTTAATGCACTTTTTTTAAAGGTAACATTCTAATACAATACTCTAAAAAAACTCCTTAGTGTACTTTTTTCAAACATAATACTCTAATATAATACTTCAAAAAATCTCTTTAGTATATTTTTTTCAAAAACCATATAATTTAACCCCCCCAAAAAAAAAAAAAAAAAATTAGTTTAACACTCTAATATAATACACAAAAACTCTTAGTATACTTTTTCCAAACGTAACACTCTAATGTAACATTCCAAGAAAATGATGTGGGATTTTTTTAAACCATTTCAAAAGGATGTGAGATTCTTCAAACCATTACAAAAGGAGTACAAAAATTCTTTAGTAAGTATTGGACAAATGTATAATTTTAAACTGTGATCGTTATGTTTGGAAAAAATACACTAAGAAGTTTTTTAGTGTTTTTGTGTGTGTTAAATTGCAGTGTTACATATAGAATTACATTGATTGGAGTGTTACATTCGAAAAAAATATACTAAGAGGTTTTTTTTTTTTTTTTGTATTATATTGGAGTGTTATGTTTGGAAAAAAACATACTAAGCCTCCGTTTGGGAAGTGGGTTGGCTTTTTGACTTTTTGACTTTTTAGTTTTTTTTGGCTATTTTAGCCAAGGCTAAAAAGCTTGGTTTGGGAAGAGTGTAATGATTATGGGTTGAATGTGATGTTTTGTTTGTTGTGGCTAAAATAACATGTTTTGTCTTTTATGACTAAAATAGCCAAAAAAAACCCTTGCCAAACGGAGCCTAAGAATTTTTTTTTGGAGTGTTACGTTATTACGTTTGAAAAAAGTACATTAAGAAGTTTTTTAGTATGTTACATTGAAATCTTACATTGAAGTGTTGCATTTTTGTTCATAATGTGGGATTTGTTCCAGAATGAGAGAAAATCCAAAACATCTATAGTACGGTTTACCCAAATGTGCAATTTCACATTTGGAGAAATCCTAGCCAAAAAAACCCTTGCCAAACGGAGCCTAAGAATTTTTTTTTGGAGTGTTACGTTATTACGTTTGAAAAAAGTACATTAAGAAGTTTTTTAGTATGTTACATTGAAATCTTACATTGAAGTGTTGCATTTTTGTTCATAATGTGGGATTTGTTCCAGAATGAGAGAAAATCCAAAACATCTATAGTACGGTTTACCCAAATGTGCAATTTCACATTTGGAGAAATCCACTTTTATTCCTCAAAAATTAAACCAAAATGTGTAAGTGATTACCCTTTTGTGCAATTTCTACAATAATGGGACCTTTGGGTTCATAAGAAAAAAGAAAGGACTAAATAGTTCAAGATATCATATTTTGAAATTTATTGATACTTCACTCTCAAATAATAGATACAAATTAAAACTCTATGCATGTAGCATATATATAATTTAGAATACATTACACTTAACTCCTTTGAAATTTGAAAAAA